TTCTGTGGCATGCATGCCATAGGTTCGCCACCACTGCCCTAGCCCCTCTTGTAGTGCCAGCCTGAGAAAATTCTAGGCCACTGAAATAATTTAATATTCATTCTATCAATACTTGGAGGTAGGACCTCCGCCCTCTGTCTCTGTGGGAAGGTTTCATATCCCTGACTCTATTGAGCACTCACTTCCTCCTCCCATTCTCTCAGCCTCTAGGTACCTCTACAAATAAAAGTTGACTTCAGTTCACATTGGACTCTTTACTGTAATAGTGTGTTACTGGTTAAACCTGCTCTTACCACTTTAACTAGTGTGTAGCCTTGTTTATCTCTGACAGTATTTGAAGCGTAGTTTGCTAAGTTTTGACATAGGTATGCACCCAAGAAACCATTTGCACATCAACATAGTAAAGATATCCATCATATAACATACATAAATGTGTACAATTGTAGAAATGAAAAAAATGTTTTCAGAATGATAAAGACATGCTGTGGGAGCATTACCAAAAACAAGCAAAAGCCAAAACTCAAATCCTATTTTATGCATTGATGCCAAAGCTGTATTTTCTGTGCTTTGTTTAGGGTCTTCTTAAGAAAAAAACAAAGTTGTTTTTAACCAACAGATTTTTAAACAGCAGGGACGTGCTTATTATTTACTGTTTTGGTATCTTTCCCTCATTTACATAAATACCCCAGAAACCAGCAGTTTAAAACTAATAAAAGCCACGGCCCTCCATCAAGAGTAATAAAGTTTCACAACCATGAGTTAGACTGTTAGAGTGAAAAATAAACCTATATATGTGGTTATGAAGGTTTTTTTTTTTCCTGGAAAGTGTATAATCACATTTCAAAGTTAGAACTTCCATTTGAAGTAGCAGTGTAATAATAATACTTAAACATTTATGTAGAACGCTTCATCTTTGAAACACTCTCCCAACATTGGCCAATGAATCTCCACTGCTTCCCTAAGGAGCAGGTGTACTGTCTTCCATTTTTCTGTGTAGAAAATCAAGGAAGGTATTGCCCAGACCAGAGGGAGGGAAGGCTATGGAGATGAGTTCCTGTCCCTTACTGTTCAGTGACTCTCTGGGAGGTAACTCCCACTAGAATGCATCAGGTTTCTGTTCCACATTGATGAAATCGCTAATGAAACAATCATGAATAAAAACTTAGCCTCAGGCTTCACAGAGTCCTGACCCTTCTGGTGGCACATCTTTTGGAAGGAATGGTGTCTTAGTCCATTTTGTGTTTTTGTGCAGCATCTCTGAGGCTGGGTTATTTATAAAGAAAATCTTCACATGACTTCCCAGCTTGTAGGCTTCTGTTTGTTCGACTTAAGATCCAAACATAGTCCCAGCAGCTGGCTAGGGCCTGCTTGGCTGTGTCATAACATGTCAGAGAACTGGAAAAGGAAACAACTGTGTGCAGAAGCGGTTGAGCACACACGAGTGGCCTTGTTTTATAACCATCCACTCTTGTAGGATCTAATCCTGTGGAGAACTATATTAATCCTTTCTAAGGGCAGTGCCCCCCTGACTAATCACCCCCAAGCTGGGCCTGCCTCTTACAGGTCCACCACCAACCTCTCTATTGTTGACCAAGCCCCCAGCAGGCGAACCTTTGGGGGCTACTCACACCATACCCAACCCATAACAAATGGGATAAGGAAAGAAACAGAAAAGCCACAGCACACTGTGTTTGCACTTAAAAGTGGGTTGGATTAAACATCCAGCAAATGCTTCTTCCCTCCCCCAGTCTCCCCCCTCACATTATCTTGGCAACTTCATTCACAGTTTTCCAAGTAAGATTTGCTATGATTAGGCCATTTAAAGAGTTGAGCAAATGTGTTAGGCACATTAAAGCCAGAGGAACAGTAAAATAAAACTAGTGAACATTTACATTTTTGGAAATATAATTAATGTATGCTTGAGAAAATTTGAAAGATAAACACTTAAATGTTAAAATACTTATTACCTTCCCCACAGGGACAGTGTTGAGAATTAATGAGATAACAAATGTAAAGTGCTTTGAGCTCTTTAGAAGAAAAGTGCTAGACAAATACAAGTGATTATTAATTGGTAAAGCTATAAGATGGTTACTAATATATTACTTCTGATAAAAAATACATATTTTTATGCCTGAAAAATAGGATGCTTGCAACTGTTAGAATGACATAGCTGAAATAATGTGCCCCAGACTTCTCCTTGGTTATTCTACACCTTGCTAGGAGCCCTCTTCTAACCCTTCTGGGGTTTCTTGATCTCATACCTCTCAAAACAGTGGGACATGACTTCCCAGCTTCCAGGCTTCTGTACTTCCCTGTGGTGCTCCTTTACTAGTCTTACACACCCCTCATCGTTGGAAAATTCTGTGGACACCACTTTCTCTTCCCTGATTTATTGGATCACAAAATTGCAATGTCCTTCCATGTTAACAATCACACAAGTCAATTTTATTAGCAGGAGGTGAGTGTAAACTAAGCCATTTTTCTACATTTAAGCAATGCACAAGATGTTGTTATAGAACAGAGAAAACTCCTTGTATGATCTAGGTCAAGTAAGACATAGTCAAATTTTTTTGTACAACATACTAGAATTTATGGCAAAAGAGAGGAAACCCAAAAACTATTTTCAGTTAGCTTAAAGTATGGGGTAAGATACCAAATCTTAACTTTCTCCTATATAAAATGAGGATAGTAGTAGTACCTACTTGCATGTATTTGTTGGAAAAATGCAATAAGATAAAATACATAAAGCTAGCATAGTGCATACCTAGGGAGCTAGGGAGCAAGTGTTCACTAGGAGGTAAATACAGTATAAGTAAATAGTGGAAGGTAGATAGCTACGGAGGTAGACAACACAGGTTGTCTGCAATTTAATATTATCTTCTAGTTGGTTATATTAATGTTAGTCTAAAATGGATAATACACTAAAGAAGATACTTTTCTTATAATGCTCTCCTAAATAATTAATACAGTTTGCTTCTCCAAACACTGCAAAGATTCAGCATTAAACAGTAGATCATCGCTCATACAAAGGTAGCTTGACTATTCAATTCATATGTTTTCCCAAAATTTTCTAAAAAATGGTACACCATTTTCAAGGAATTCTGTAACCACTAAAGATTTCAGTTTCCTATTTAGAATAGTAAAAACTCATTAATTTGTCTTGACCAAATTGTGTTTGGGATTCTGTAGATACTGTGCACATAAAATTTTTCCAACTTAATTTAGTTTACCAGTAGCACAGTATCTTTGTAACATATATGTGCAAAAAGATAATGGTCTGTGCTTCTTTTCAAATGTTCTGTAATTAAAACATTTCACTAATTTAATCTGGTCCTCTGGCTTCTTCCACTTAATTACATGACATGATTGTTTTATTATACTAATTTTTCATCTTTCACTTTAAAGCTGTAGGTGTTTAGGCAGAGAACCTTACTCCCAGTCATTTTCTAAAGGATCTGAATCTGGATAGAAGGTCTAGACTTGGAAACAAGCATTCTGTAGTTTACAATAATGATGTATGCAAAGGAGACAAACAGCATTATTTGAGAAACCAATCATGTGGTTTCCAAAAAAACATGGTACAGGAGAGTGAACTTGTTTTGCCAGAAGCTTGAGGCTCAGGAGTGCTAATCAAAATCCACATACAAAACTTCCCTTATGGATTTAATAGTTTTTTACCATTAAGTGGGGGTGGGGGTACCATGTGAATGATCCACTGCTGTGCTGAACAAAACGGAGACAGTTTTCTTTTAAAGTCCAGAGCAGATGAGAGCCATAAGGAGACAGAGGGTTTCATTTACTCTCAGGACATGACTGTGCCAGTGAACTAATGAGTCTCTTGGACCTTATGTTGCTCTGGCTTCAATAGAGGCGCGACTCTAATGGGCATGTAGTACTTCCTATCCGTCAAGTGTCTGAACAATAGGCCCCTCGTATGGATTGGAGAAATCTGGCAAGAAAAAGAGGTCATCCTTGCACCTAGCACAGGCGGGAAACCTGGCTAATTAATGTATTTCCAACGATGGCAAAACAAAATCTGATACACAGAGAACTGTTAGTTTTTATTACAGAAATTCTTAGCCTGTGGTTGAAGCACAGTTAAAAATTTATCGAAATTCCATAGTTGAAAAAAAATGCATTTTCCCTATCCTTTCAAGTATTTTTATAGATATAAATGTTATTCTTTAGACCATATGTGATTTGGTGCTGCACCTTACGTATTTCACTCTGCAGTAAAGCTGATGTAGAAATAGTTTGGACAATTATAAAGCAAATGCTGAGGAATGGTGTCAGCGTTGCATGACTTTAACAGTTTTCCCTTTAAAATGTACTGTTGAATCCCGTTGTAAAAGTCCTACTGCTATATTAAATGGAGAGCTAGAAAAGGACAAATGTTTATTCAAGCTAGAGGCTTGAGTTATGCTGTATCTTAAACTAAAAGCAGATACTGCCACCTAGACACATTCTGATGCTTTGGTTAACTAGAGGTTGGCTTTTTCTGCTTCTTGAAGAAATACAATAGCAACAAACACTAGCGGCTGGGTGCAATAAACATATAGAGAATGATAAAGAATCATTTAAAATTTCATATAAACAGAAGTTTCTTAGAAAAACAAGACTTCTGTATTTTGACAAATAGTAACTGTTTTTATTCAATGCTTTAAATGTAGTAAATTACTCTTAAAAATAGGAGAAAACTTTCTAAAACATTAAAAAAAAACAGCTTCATAATCCTGAAGCTTACTGAGAAGTAGATGTAGAAGTGATAAGGGTAAGAATTGTAAATTTGTTTTCTATGAGATTATTTTTCCAAAGTTTGGGAAGAGGAAGAGATTATTTAATATTATTGAGAGAAAATACCCGTAAGTTTTGGTTTAATGGGTTAAATAAGATCACTTAATATATTTTTAAAAAGAGTAATCCATTATAATCTGTTCTGATTCACATTTTAGCAAACAAAACAAATTCATTCCACCCACCACCACTTTTGTTCCTAATACCAGAAGAAATATTGCCCTTTCTTACTCCAGAATGAGATTCCCAAATTGTAATGTGTTCCAGGATCATTTATCAGCCTTAGAGAGGTTTTTATCATCTTTGGACTTTAGTTCTTCTTCTAATCTCATTTTGTTTTCCTTTGTTACGCCTAGAATGGTTTTGATATCATCAATGGTGGTCTGTAAATAACAGTAAAATAATGTTCATTATTTAAAGTCCTTTTACAAACCCTTTCCTCCCAAGTACTTGTTCCTCTTTTGGAGTTTAGTATGGTTCAGACCAATTCTGCACAAAGTTTGTTTCATTGACTGATGCCCATTTATAAATTATTGGTTACCAGACTTGTTAGGTGAATAAAAAAATGTGGAAATCTTACTAGAATTCTTAAGCTTCCTAAGTCTAAAAATGTAGACAATGAGCCATCCTGTACATCTTTAATTTTTTCATTTTTCTAGTAATTCAGTTTTGCTGCATTTAAAAAAGTCATTGATCCCGATGGGTCAGAAAAAAACATACAGGCTCTTTATTACAGGTAAGTTAAGTTCTGGTCTAGTCATCCTTAAGTGAAGGTTAGTAAGCTGAGAAGGTTTATTCTATTGGTCTCTGAGAAAAAAGAATGACACCTTCTAATTTTTAGTTAATTAATTAGTTTTTGGCAATGCTGGGAACCAAACTCAGGACCTTGCTAGGCAAGTACTCTATGCTGAACTGCATTAATTAATTAAATTGATTCACTTTAAATTGAGGTATAATTTACATATAATAAAGTTCACTCTTTATTACAATTCAGTGGTATTTATTATATTCATAGACAACAACCACAACTATGTAATTCCAGAACATTTTCATCACCTTGAATAGAAACCGTATTCCCCATTTCCCCGCTCTCCCTCAGCCCCTGGAAACCATAACCTGCCTCCTGTCTCTGTAGATTTGACTACCATGCCCATTTTGTATACACAGAATCATAAAAATATTTTTCCTTGTGTGACTGGCTTCTTTCACTTAGCATAATATTTTCAATATTCATCCATGTTATAGCACAGATAATCATCCTTCATTTCTTTTTTATCACTGAGTCATATTCCATTACATGGATATTATTCATAGAATTCGCCTATTTCTCTTTTAATTTTGTTTGTTTTGTGGTGCTAGGAACTGAACCTAGGAGCTTGCATGTGCTAGGAAAGCACTTGACCACTAAGCTATATTCCCAGTGCCCAGAAGCTTTTCCTTTTGATTAAGTATAATTTACCTATTTTCACTTAGGTTGTTTATGCTTTTCGTATTGTATCTGAGAAAGTATTGCTAATCTAAGGTCATGAAGACTTACACTTGTATATTCTTCTAAGTGTTTTATAGTCTTAGCTCTTACATTTAGGTATTTGTTTATGGTGTCCAATTTCATTATGTGTGTATGGATACCTATTTGTTCCAGCATCTATTATCAAAAAGGCCATTCTTGCTTCCACTGAATTGCTTTGGCATCCTTACTGAAAAATCAATTCATCATAATGTTTAGTTTTATTTTCTGGTCTCTCGAGTCTAGTGTATGTCTGTTTCTATGTCAATACCACACTATATATATATATTTTTGTTGTTGTTGTTGTTGTTGTTTTGTTTTGTTTTTTTTTTGAGACAGGGTCTCACTTATGCAGTGAGACTGACCTGGAATTCACTGCGTAGCCCAAGCTGGTCTCGAACTCAAAGCGATCCTCCTGCCTTAGCCTCCCAGAGTCCTGAGATTGCAGGCGTCTGCCCAGCCCACACTATCTTGATTATTGTAGCTTTGTAGTGAATTTTAAAATTGAGAAATATGAGTCTTCCAGTTTTGTCGCCCATACTCACAGGTTATTTGAGCCCCATTCCCTTCCACACACTTTAGGGTCATCTTGTCAATTTCTACAAAATGCCAGATAAATTTTTTTTTGTACTGGGGATCAAACTTGGGACCTTATGCTTGTGAGGCTGGTGGCAGCAGCACTGAGCTGAATCCCCAGCCTGCCAGATGGAATTTTGATAGGAATTGTACAGAATCTATAGATCAATTTGAGGAGGTTTGTGATTTTAACAATATTGAAACTTCCACTCTATGAACATAGACTATCTCTCTATTTATTTGGATCTTCTTTAATTTTTTTCACTGATGTTTTATTCTTTTCAGTGTGTCAATTTTGGACTTCTGTTAAGATTGGGTAGCTCCATCAATTTGACTTTGAGTGAGGGTCCCTAGGGCTGCATCCTATCTCGGCAGATGGTACGGTAGTATCTCATTCAGGAGGGAGAAATCTCTTGAGACAGGAAACCAGAGAGCTAGGAGAGGCCACTCATCCTCTTTCATAGCAACATTCTTGGACAAATGGACAGTGTCCTGTGAGAACCACTCCATTCTCCTCGGAGGATACCCCAAAACCCCAATGACTTCCCTTTAGGCTCCGCCTCTTACATGGTCCATCGCCTTTCACGTTGCTGCACTGAAAAGTAAGCTTCTAACACATGAACCTTTGGGGGACACACTCAAACACATCCAAACCACCGCACATCCCTTAGTACTAGTGAATATCGATGTAACACTGGTCTGTTTTCATCGATTCTTTTCAGTCATGTTCATGCGGCAGAAAAAGAAATGGACATTCTCCCATTTCATATAATCACTGAAGAGTAGAGCATTGTTGTCATTGTTATTGTCACTAAAGGAGTCTGGCCCTGGCTTGAGATAAAAATATAATAAAAATTATATTTTTGGGGCCAGGGATTTAGCTTAGGGGTTCGGTGGCCTGCCTTGCAAGCGCAAGGACCCAAGTTCAATCCCCGGTACAATATATATATATTTTCACCAAGATTTACTAGGCTTTCTGTTTAAGAGAAAAACCATATGTGCTTTCCACATTGAGTCCTTTGAGCTCCTTGACCTGTTCAAACATAATCAGATCCTGCTAATCAATACCAAGCCGTTATCTCTTTTTAGCTAGTGTCTCAAATCTCCTACACATGCCTTGCTCCTGTATTTTAAAATTTGGAGCCTTCTAGTCAATTATATACAGCTCCAATATTTAGAGGCCATATGGAAGATTCAGAAGGTTACTAGTGAAACAGCAACCCCACTTTGGAGAAGTGGGGTAAGTAGATGGTCCATATATATTCTGAGCTTTTCTCCTGCTTGTCTTTAATACATACTGTCTTTTTAGGCTTCAGAACTTCTCTGGCTCTAAAAACTGAGGCTCCACATTAATCGCCAGCCAGACACTGTAGTATCTCCAATACAGATAGATTACATTCTTGAATTTTGGTTGTGACAGTCTCTGTTTTGGCTCCATTGTGATTTTTCAGCGTCACCTCCAACATCAGAAAGCTCTGTTGTCTCTTAAGCTTGGATTTGAGATGGCAGCAAGTTAAAGCAAGTCTGCTATATTTCAAAGAAAAAGTTTCAAACTATTAAATTTAACTAACGGGTTCAGTGGGAACCTTACAATATTGACCCTGCACAATGTAAAATATGTACTGCTTACAATTAAAAAAAAAAAGATGGTTTAGCACTTGTTTACAATACAGCATGAGGTATTTTCAGCCCTTGTATAGAAATTAAGCAGGATCGTTAGTTAATTAACACCTCACCTTAAAATTGGTCTCGCCTTGCATATTAGGTGCTGATATTTCTTGATGGATGATGAAGAGATTGCGAGCAAAGGTCATGAGGACCCCCTGGAGATCTACACCGATTGTTCTGTTAATGATATCCAAACAAATGAGTTTAGCAATGAATCCCCTCACATGCTTAAAAACAATGGCCCTCTCATTTGTGCGTCTGGTGATGGAATTTAATGAGTATTTTCAATCTCACAAGGTGGCAATCTTCAGGGAGATAAGAAAGATGAGGCCCCATTTTAACTTGTCAACAAAAAGGATTTGTGTAGTAAATATTTTTTATTAATCAACTTAGGAGGATATAGCAGGCTTAGTCATTTCTAGCAAAAGGCTACTACTGAGGTAGGGCAGAAGTATTAGCTCATTTTGCAAACTGTATTAGTTAAAGTGAGTTGTTGCTATGTCATTCTTGTCTGTAGAGCTGTACAGACATTTACTCCCTGTGTTTACGGAAATTTTTTTTTTTTTTTTTTTTTTTTTTTTTGAGACAGTCTCACAGTGTAGTTCAGGCTGGCTTTAAACTCACTATGTAGTCCAGGCTGGCCTTGAATTTGTAGTGATCCTCCTGCCTCAGCTTCCTGAGTGCTGGGATTTCAAGCATGTACCACCACACCCAGCCTGAAGACTTTTGTCTGGGTTTATTTTTTATTTCAAATGTACTGGTCCCACTCAGGTTCCAGGACAGTGTGTCCCATTCATGAACTGCATCTTTATAAAGCCAAACGCTCACTTTACAGTTTCAGAGACAAAACCATCCTGTAGTATACTGTGGTCTGTGAACATTCCCAAACAACTAGATTGTCATATGCTTTAATTTGGAAACAAAACTCGGGTACTTTCCTAACTTTTTAAAAAAACTTTTTTTTATTAAAAGGGAAAAAAGTTTAATTGGAAGGATTAAATTTTAAAAATTGTTTTGTCATGAGGGGTGAATTATTCCTTAAGGCATCTGTGAAAACTGTAGGCCTATTTCTTTAAATTAAGTCCCCTTAGAGACTAGGGCTTGGGCCCTCATGGATCTCTGCCTTCCAGTCTCAGGCTTTCCTTTGGTTCAGGGTGGCATGAAAAGCTGCCCAATCCTTAAGACAGGAGGCCACGGCTTTTTGTCTTGCCACTGACTGACTTAAACTGTCTGGGTCTTCATTTTTTCTCTGAAATGAAGGAACTGGACTAAGTAAGTGCTTCTGAAAAAAAATTTTTTTGTACCAGGATTGAACTCAGGATCTTGTGCTTGCCAGGCAGCTGTGGTGCCACTGAGCTAAATCCTTGGCCCTGAACTTGTTACATTTTCAGAAGCTGAGGAGGGCCTATGACTGGTAGCTGCTAAATATTAGTATCTCTTCTTTGAAGAAAATAAATAATAGCCAAAGGCAACTTCAGAATCATTGAATTTTTGAAAAGTTATTTGTATTTTCTTACCATAGGATCAGTATGTATCAGACCCTGGGTGCTTCTTAAAACAACAGATTCCTGGATCAACCCTGAATTAACAAAACCAGAATATTTAGTTTTGGGGGCCAGGAATATGTTGTTTCACCTAGCCTCTAGGTGATTCTCAGATATACACTGAAAATAGAGAACATTCTTAAAAGATGTTATTGAGAGGAGAGAGACTGCATGCCTGTGTGTGTGTAAGGGTGGAGGGTGGAGGGTGGAGATGGAGACACAGGTCTTTACATGATTTCTTTCCCCCTTTGCTGTTGGTTCGTTCATTTCTAGAATTTTCTTCATTTTTCTCTTTCTTGAAATTTCTCTATTATTTCCCAGAAATCCCAGAATAAATGGAGTCAGTATGAAGTTATCCCAGAAAAGCCAAACCATAAATCTGGTCTGTGAAATCATCCCCTCTTGAAGTCCCCTCACCATTCCTAGAGATGACAGGCTGCTCACATCATGACAGCCCGGAAGCAGATAAGGGAGGACTACCTAGGAGGACACCAGGTCATAATCCCAGTAACCACCTTCTCAGTAGGCCCCACCTCCTAGCACCACATTTAGCTACAGCACTCCGTGATCCAGTCATTCCGCGAGGCTTTCGATAGAAACCATAACATGATCTTTTCTCTGGGCTCCTGGTCAGCTGCTTTTCCGACTCCTGGATTGTCCTTTTGGTCTTTGTGGTTGGAATTGTCCTAATGTGAACTGGTAGCGTCTTGGGATGTCCTGGAGGCACGTGAATCGTGAGTCTGGATTTGGCCTATCTGGCTGTACTCCCGTCACCAGAAAGGAGCTCCCCTCTCAGCCTTCTCTCCTGTGCAAGCGGGTTTGTCTAGTTTTGATCCTGGCCCACCTCATCCTCTGCAGTTACCTTTCATGCCAGCTGGTAGTCGGGAAGACAGAGTTCATATCTCTGTATTCTGATTTCTCGTCCTTGTACTTTGAACCATTTGTCTCAGTTCCTGAGTTTACAAATATACTTGGACCATAACTGTTTCCTCGTTATTAGAAAATACCATTTTCTGGACAGCTTTCCAACATTAAATCCTGTTGACTGCTTGGTTCTCCTAATCACAGTAACTGTCCTGTAGTCTATGTCCTGCCACAGCCTTAGCATCATAGTGACAATTTGGAGAGAGCAGAATAGCTTGGGCGTGAGGGAAAAGAACTGAGGACAGCACATCACTGGGAAGCAAAGGCAGCTCCTTCTGTACACATGCCTAGATACCATTCTGGATATGAACACCTGGGCAGGTGAGGTGCATGCATATTTACTGGGTTCTTATGGATGGAGGCCTCATTTCTGTTATTACGGCAGTATAACAAAAAGGTGGACAGAGCCCTGAATAAAGAAGCTTTCTTAACAAAACCCAGGAAGTTCTGCACGTTGGTACTGGAGCAGAGGACTCAAATATCCATGTTGTCCTCTTCCCGGGTACTAAGAAATATTTAAGACTTTAATCATTGGATTAAATTATAGCCATGTTCTAGCTCCAAAAGAGAGGAGAGAGACAGCTGAACATTATCATAAGTTCCAAGGGCCTGTTGAGGGTGACAAGACTTCTAGCAGGACTGTGCTCCAAATACACATACCTGGAGAAGACTGTACCAGGGCCAAAGCCGGCCCTGGCCCTGGAGGAACGTCTTGCTAAATGGCTTGAGCACTTTTCTAAGTATGCAAGGATAACAACTGTCTTTTCACAACTAGGACATCGGAGCTGGTTTCTCATCAGTCAGACTTGTTGTCTCTTGTATATGCATAAGCTTGAGTGGTATATATTAGATATACTGTACACTCTACCCATCGGTTTTGGATAATTATATTGATGAACTCTGACCAACATATCTAAAGTCACTTTATGAATTACCTGAAGGTCTAACTAAAATGAGATAGGCTTCCAATAAATCAGCATACCAATGGAAAAGCATCTAGTTAGTTGTAATAATCTCTTAGCTTTTATTACATCTCATAGGTACTTCATACTTACAACATGCCCAACTTGTCTCTCTTCAGGCTTTCATATAATATAAAAACAGTTCCTTGTCTGTCCTGTAAGATTTAAGTAAAAACATAGCATATTATTTTGGAAACAAGAAAATACTCTTAAAAAGAAAATACTCTTTACTAAGAGTACTAAATTTGATTCAAATTGAAATTAGAGCTACCTTAAACTGTTGTGAGAAGCACAATGGAAAGGGCCTTCTCCATAATATGGAAGTGTTTTCTGAACATGTTCCTCAGAACACCTGTATCAAACTCCTCTAATGTGCCTGTTAAAACAGACGCTTCTCAGGGCTTAGTCATAAAGCATTGTTAGCATGTGTGAGGCATTTAGGTTCCATGCCTAACACCTCAAGCAAACAATCCCCCAGTCACATTTTTAGGGGTATCATCTAAGCCCAGAATGTTTGAAAAGGAATCTGCCTTCTAGCTCATTTTCTGGGTGTTTGTTCTGCACGTAAAAATTTGGAAAACAGTTAGAAGAGTGCAGTAGCCCGGTATGGTGGACCACACCTATAATCCCAGCACTCTGCAAGGCTAAAGATAGTAGAAGGATCGCAAGTTCAAACTCAGCCTGGGAAACTTAGCAACTTAGTGAGACCTTGTCTTAAAAAATGAAAAAGGGCTTGGATATGTAGCTTAGTGTGAAAACCCTAAGTTCAATTCCCAGTTGAAAAAAAAAAAAGAAGAAATTTGTTGTGTGGATAATAATTTGTACTCTGATAGAAAAATCGTGTGTTGACAACAGCACACCCTACTGCCTTATCCTGTGGGTTCTATGGGAAATGTTTTACAGCTCCGTAAGTTTAAGGAACTGACAGACAAGCCAAGTCTTCTAGCTTGACAAAGGTTCATTTGATTCACTTTCCTGTTCCCTTGTACAAAAAGCTGTTCTGCTTCCATATGCATATTCATTTCAATATGCCTTGTCTGTACAGATGTCTGATTTTTGGATTCTCTTTTGAACTAGTTACAACATCTGTCTAGTTACCTCTGTTAAATAAAATTTTTATCATATGTTTATTTTATATCTGTATGACATGATAATTTTTAAAGAATTATCTTTTAACAGCTTTCTCCAAATAAGAAGTGATCCTAGGATTGTCCGGTAGTAGAAAGGTGAACTCCCCATCACTGGGTTTCCAAACATGGAAACTATTTGGAGGTTTGGTAAAGGGAAGCATTCCCACAATTACATGATAGTACTTAGCAACTCCCTACTTTGTCAGGAAATCTGAGCATTAGGGCAGTCTCTGGACTACAGCAGTTGCCCTTAATGCTGGTTGCACATTAGAATCATCCGGGTGCTTTTAAAATATCATGCCTGCATCCTACCTTCAGAAATACCAATTATTTGGTCTGAAGTGGGCCCTGGGCACAGGGGCAAGCTGAGCCATACTGGAGCCTGAGGTGGAGGAAAGAAATCAGTAATCTGATCTTGTTTTTACTAAAATTTTTGACATTCTATTCACCATAGATTTTTGCATTAATTTTGATTTTAACTATTATATTAACATATTATTTAATTTGTTACCAAGATTTATTCCCTCTCAAATTTTGTGTTCATTGTGAATGCCTCACTTGTCTCACCCTAATTAAAGCTGCATGGGCATCTGTATTTTTTTTTTCTTTTGGTACTGGGGATTGAACACTGGCCTTTGAGCTTGCAAGGCAGGAAGTGGAACAACTGAGCTAAATCCCCAGCCCAGGCATCTGTATTTTTTAAAGCTCCTCACTTGGCTCCTAATGGGTTGTCTGATATGGTAGCCATTACCTGAGGCTACTGAGAGCCTGAAATATTTGCAGTACAAATTGAAATGTAGCTTTCAAAGATTTAGCACAGAAACTATGAAAGAATTTTATACTGATTATGTTGAAAATATTTTGGATATATTGGGTTAATGAAACATATCATTAAATACATATTTACCTGTTCTTTTTTACTTTAAAAAGTGTGGCTCTCACAAAAACTAAAATGATCTATGTGGCTTACATTTATGGTTTGTATTATATTTCTGTTGGACGGTGTTATTCTAGGGCTCTATTGTTCACATAGATATAGAAAATTACTTCTAATGAGCAGTCCTCACTTCAGAATTTTATGTTCGAATAGCATCATATTTGAGGAAGAGTATCAGTAGCCATCTTACATCTAACTGCCACATGCAGAACAGTTTCATAGATCTGTCATTCCAAGGAACCTGAATGGGTATTTATTGGCCTCCCCCCCACTTTTAGTAATAAAATTATTGGTTGACAGGGCTTTTTCTTTTAGTACTTTTAAATCATGGCCCACTTGTCTTCTACTCTTTATCAGTCTTATTGCTCCTTTGAAGGTTTATTTTTTTTTAAAGGTACTTTTTAGATTTTCTCTTCCTTTGTGACTTTCAGCAGTTTTACTATGATGTGTCAGGTGTGATTTCCTTTATATTTATCTTTTTTTTTTTTTTTTTTTGTACCAGGGATTGAACTCAGGACCTTACACTTGCCAGGCAGATGTGGTGCCACTGAGCTACATCTTTGGCCCTCTTTATATTTATCTTGTCTAAAGTTTATAGTGCTTTTTGAATTTGTAGTTTGGTAAATTTCACCGATTTTGGAAAATTTTTGGTATTTATCTAAAATTGCCCTTCTCCTCTCTTTCTGAGACACTTAACTCATGAATGAGAGACTTTTTCTTCCATTTCCATATATCCTTTAAACCTTTACTGTGTATTTTCATCATTTTCTTCTTTTGTAATTTTAAATATTTGCCACTAACCTGTCTTTTATTTCACCATTTTATGATCTCCTACATATCAATGTATGAAATTATTATTACTTTTTTCCCTCATTGAGTTTATTGGTACATTTTAGGTACACAATACAGTTACATTTCCCTGCCCTCCCTTCACCCCCTCCTCCCCTCCCCATTTACAAACATTTTATTTCCATTTTTTCATTTTCTCCTATTATTTTTCTTTCCCTTATTACCTTTCCTCTACCCTTCCCACTTTCCCTACACCTTTAGCCCTTTTCTTCCCATTTCACATTGTCAGTTATCTCATTAGGATCTTATGTACTATTATAGTTTGTTCACACCAGAGAAACTACTCGGTATTTACACATGTGTAAATTATTTATTTCACCTAGGAATATATCCTCATCAATTATTAATTTTGTTATAATTTTAAAATTTCTGCTTGCCTTTAAAAATAGATATAAGATTTTGGCGAAATTATCCTATAATTTTAAAGAGTATTCTGTTATTGTTTTCCTCTTTTTTTTTTTTTTTGTGCCGGGGATCCAACTCAGGACCTTGAACTTATGAAGCAGGTGGTGGCACCACTAAGCTAAATCCCCAGCCTTGTTTTTCTCTATTTTTAATATTAATCATAGTTATTTTAAAGTCCAGGTCTGATAATTTAATTATGTGAGTCACCTGTGGGATTTTTCTATTTTTTTCTCTTTATTTACAATTATTTGTTCCTTTCTTTTGACATGCCTTATAATTTTTATTGCATGCTGGTCATTTTACATGGAAAATTGCACATACTCTAGATGTTACTGTTCTGAAAAGAGGTTTTACATTTTGTTTTGTCAAGCAGATAGAGAACTGGCAACTTATCTTGATATATCAAGGAAAGATTTTAGATGCTGTTGGATCTGGTCTATTTAAGGTTTTCTTCTTTTTCTTTTCTTTTCTTTTTTGGTACTAGGGATTGAATTTGGGACCTTGCACTTTTGAGGCAGGTGGTGGAACCACTGAGCTAAATCCTTCGCTCTTAAGCTTTTTCCTTCCTTCACATATTTGGTATTTTCCCTTAGGCAAATGTTCTTACTACTAGAGCTTGATTCTTCTGAAATTTCCATTAAAATCTTGGGGTGTTTATTAGGGCCCTTTCAACTTAGCAGGACATGAAATCCAATCTCTTTCTTTTCAGCCTAATGAGGCTTTTGAAGTCTTTGCCAGATTTTCAACCTTCCAGCTACTGTCTTTTGTTGAATTTCTTGAAGTCTTGAGTTGTTCATTCACAAGGTAGGGGTCTCCCACTGATTTAAATGGTCCTTATATACAGATATTTGGGTTCTTCCCTCTAATCACCTTTGCTCCAGGATTTTGGCTATTAAATCCCAAACAGTTTGACAATTATGAACTCCAATCTCTCTCTTTAGCCCAGTAAGACTGTGATTTCTCTTTGGATCTGTTACATACAATTTGGGAATGTTTTCAAAGAGAAAACACGATGAATAAATCACTCATTTTACATGCTTAAGGACGGTGGTTCCTCATGCACTACTTGTTTTGGTTGCCCTCCATGCCTTCAAGCACTTATTTTAAATATCTTTGTCCCACTTTTATATTTATTTTTGGAGAAGAATTAGTTGGACACAAACTACCTTGTCGTATCCAGGGGAATAAGGCATCTAGATTTGGTTGCCACTCTTTTCTAGTTCTCCTTCTTGGATATCTTCATTTCTTTATTTTCTTATTTCTGTGTCTTTCTCTTACTATCAAGTATCTTAAGCTTGTCAGGCTTCGGTAGGAGAACTATACCCTTTGTCTCTTTTTCTTGAGCTATTCTTTCTAAATGAAAACACTGGCTGCCATGATCTTTGTTGGATCATTACCCTGACATACATTAATCCATTCAGAGGTATAAATAGTTGGTTATAGTCATAACTTTAATTTAATGCTCATTGCAAGGCTGAATTTTACTTGGCTTTTGTTTGGCAAGAACGTTTCATTTTTTTATACCTATGTTTTGAAGTTAAAAACCCAGTTTAGCTTTTCCAACTTTGCAAAGTACCAAGTTTCTGGAATCCCTCTATTCCCTTTCATTTATGCTTACAAATTGCTTGATAAATTTAGACACTCGTACTTTTTGTATACTTTGCCAAATGTAGCCAACAATGCTCAGCATACACTATTAACACTATTAACATATACTATTAACTATTTACCTTTAACGTATTTTTCAATTCTTCTCTAGTGCTATAGGTACATTAGGTGTATTATCTCCCTTCCAATTTATCACAGGTGTCAGTTTTGTCAAATATTTACCAATTCACAGCAAGGATTGTGACCACCCTCCTCCTCCCTCTTGTTTCCTGTAATAGCTTCCTTGCCTGATCATTAAGCCAATACCAAAATTTTAGGTTTCTATTTCAGGAGCATCCTCCTTTTTTT